GTGGAGAAATATACATGCATATATAATGTCGATTAATTTACATGCAGTTAGTATATATATATAAATATATATATATATATACATATATGTGTATATAAACATTTACATACAGACATACATATATATACATATATAATATGTGCACATACATATACATTCATACTTACATACATACATACATACATCTACATTATGTTTAGATATATATATCTATGTATATAGATATATGTATATATGTGTTGTGACATTCGAATGAAATGCTGAAACCATTACATGGGTCTGACCACTGCGCTACTCCAACTGGCGGTTTTTCTTACGATGACGTGCATATGTGGCAAGCCTGTGTAGCTTTATATTCAACACCAATCGCGTCGTGGACATGTACATGTGTTCAACCTAGAAAATACTGCAAATAGCTTAATATGTAAGTGCCGACGCAATAAACCCCCCAAAGCACCAGAAAGAGCCTATATTAGGATACATACCGCCACCACCGTATCCCATGTTGATTATTTGTAAGTGTTTATTATCCGTAAAATCTCTCGATTGGAGTGTCTGGAATATTATCGACTATCGAGGTTTATATATATACAGATATACGATTATACCTCATATATCAAAAGAGAGAGCGTCGGTATAGTATTCTGAAAAAAACGTTATCCTGCCGCGCATAGGCGTTCATACAGAATGAGTGGTTCGAGAACTTTACCACAACCACGTGAAGTTCACCATAGTAGACAACTATCAAGGAAAAAGTATGTACCTCTGCACCAATCACCAGACGCCAGGTCTACAACTAATATACTACATAGATATATTGTAGCTGGTATGAGATGTTCTCTAATACATTTGCGACATCATAAGTTTCTCTATGTTTCAAAAGATTAAACCCATTTTGCGATCAAGAAAATTGTTGTCAGCTCCTGTGTTCTTTTTTAGGAGGCTGTGTGAGTGTCTCAGGGTTTTATTACTCTTTTGGCGGCAAAAAAGATAAGACGAATCATAACTAACTTACACGTATACCCCAAAAATGTATATATAAATATATGTATACATACATATATATATACATACATATGGCGACCATCGAGTCACACACATCATACACCACCACAAATAGGCTGGCGTCAGGTCCTGTCTGTATGACCGCATGTACTGACGGAAAAGATCTTGCCAGAAACTGAGGATTCTGCATACGCCTATATTAAACACATACACGTATCTAACCGTGGTTATTAATTTGATCAGCATGGCATGTATAACATGTTGTCGACGCATACATGTACAAGAAGTGAATCAACTGCAGCTCACCTCTGGCCGTATACAGCGAGTAGCTTTGCATACAACACGTAATCAATTGTCCAGTTATCTGAGGAGGAGCGGAAGCATTGCTAATGGGCTGAGAAGTCCTGTCACAGCGCACTATACTAACGTAAATCAGTCATGTGTGTATAGTTTGACAGCTGGTTCACATACATTTCCAACCTCACAGTCACATAGCCTCTCACAATCCCAGAGATACACCCACACAGTCTCCGGCAATAGAAGGCATACAGCTGGTATCACAACACGTGTCTGTCCAACTACACCACACTCCCATAGACCGCTTTATAGACGTATACACAGTGGTAGTGCTGTTACGACAACCCACCGCAAGACCCTTGCTCAACTCAATAACATACTATCACACAACACCAACCCGCTACCGTTAAGGAGATATTGTACGGTTGTGGAGAGGGACAGTGATGCACAGAATGCCACAGATGCATCGAAGTGGGTGACGGTCATAGGTCTAGAGCTGCATGCGCAGATACGTGCTAGTACAAAACTGTTCTCCGGTGCGCCTGTTGGGTTTGCGTCGCCTCCGAACTCTGATGTGGCTCTGTTCGACTGCTCTATGCCTGGTGAGTATGCTTGTGTGTGAATGGCTGCTCGATAAATACTAACCACTACACATCACATGCAATTGCGAATATGGTACAAATACAGTAGAGAGGAGTGGTACATAATCGGCCATGCGACTGATACCATGCTAGCAAACACCAGTCCTATTTGAACGAGAGGATTGGACCGGATTACGCCTAAGTTGTCCTTGACGAGCGTTGGTTTTATATGGTCATGCGGAAAAATTATGCGCACGAATGCACACAAACAATGCAAGAGACTGATTTTTATAATTGTATTATATCATAGGTGTACACATTAAGTCGTTTTAATTTAGCTTACATACTTGTTATATCATGGGCATGTATACAAATTGAGTCGTTTTAAATCAGTTTACCTACCTGTCTTGGATCCATACAGAACTGCACCCAGACACTCATAGTTTTACACATGTAAACGGTGCAACAGCATCAACCAATCATGCAGATAGGACAGGGTGTGTGGCTAGCCATCCATCCATCGAATGAACAAAGCAATTTTCGTATTGCTGCAGATAGTTTCCGAGCTATTCGATTAGCTCGATAGCCGACGTGCTGCTGCATCGACTCTTGCGTTAGTACGACATGCACACCTGCCTATGCATGTGTTTGTTTCTTAGTACATAATTGCAAAAGGTTGTGTATATACAGTTGAAGCTGTGATTAGTTATAGGAACGTGTATTAAAGTTTCTAACCTTCAGTACGTATGTATTGTCCCTCTATAGTACACATACGATCGCATACGCGAGTAACATCCTTGCCGGAGCGACCTGCATGTACATCTATACTACGCATACAAATAAACCCCCAAAACCACAAGCGCCTGTTCTCCTGGATCTCATGAATTGCACCTCACAACAGGTGCATTACCGGTCCTAAACCAGCGATGTGTGGACGCGGCCGTGGCCACCGGACTAGCACTGGGGTGCACGCCCAATCTGACCTCACGGTTCGACCGCAAGCACTACTTCTACTTTGACCAGCCCAGCGGATACCAGATCACACAGCTGCACCACCCCATTGTGGGAGAGGGAGCCGTGAGTGTTTTTGTACAGGGGGATGTGGTGTGGCTGATAGTTGTTTGGACTTGTATCTGGTTTTGTGGTTCACGCTAAGTATATAATGACACCCTGGGATACAGTGACGGTAAATGGTTGTTTTTATATTTACCTACACTCGTACTTTGTGGGTTGTACAGAGAGTACATCCATTCTGCGATACATATGTTGGGATATTTATATAAATACACACACATATATATATATATATATATAAATATGTTTATGTTTATCTCTGTTTATGTTTATGTTTATATTTATTATTTTCTTATTTTTATTCTTCTATTTATATCTCTATGTACACACAGACACAGATACTATATATATATATATATATATATATATATATATATATATATATATACTATATATATATATATATAGTGTGTATTATATATATATATATA